TGATGCAGATCACGCGCTGCCTGCCAGGGGCGTTGACTCAGAGATCTTGAGGGGCTGGGCTTGCAAACAGACGGACCTGCCTTTGGCTAGAGATTTACTGTGTCCCTCCTTGGAAGAAGAAAAGAAAAAACATATAAAGAAATGGCTAGTTCAAAGTCAAAATTCTTCTTTCATCGCTGTGAAGTGTCCAGGTTGCTACGAGGTCACGAGTTCCAGCCGACTGCAGACGGCGGCTCTTTGTGTAAGTTGTTGGAGTGCGGTGCTGGCCAACGAGAGGGAAGGCGAGGCCCCCAAAGGGTGTGCGCTTAGCAAAAGGCAGCTCTGCCCATCCACACAACTCCCGCAATCTGTGTCCTATCACAGAAAGCCTTATCACTTCAGCAATTCTTATTAACCTAACATGATAATGTAATTACACTGGATTTTGTAAGTATACAACAGTGTCTCCTATTTTGGTACCACTTTTTCTATAAAATTTTGATTCTGGGCAAAAAAAAAAGTTCATCACTATGATATTATACAAATGAAAACTTCTAAACAAATGTCCAACAGTAGGGAAGGAGATACGAGGATGTGTCTGTATGATGACTTGCGAGGTGAAGCAAACAATGCCATCCTTCCTATGAGTATTCAAAGCTGAGTCTTTTTGTTTTGTTTTCAACTGAGACCCTCTGCACCGTGACGCCGCATGGAACGACCAGCAAAGGGCTGCCACGGGTGCTGGGGAACCCTGAAGGTCGGGGGGCCCACTGTCCAGGCCTACCTCCCCTCATTTTATACAGGCAGGCGTAGCATCCTGGGAGGAGGAAGATGCTTCAGAACAGGTACAACGGCAGAATGACACCGCCAGATCTTCTCGGAGTGGGGTGGCCTTAAATCAAACCCACTTATGGAACCCACGGGTTAGCAGCTCCTGCAGAGATGAACCAAAGGCATGGACGAGGCCTGGCACGAATGCCAGCCCCAGACCTCCCGCCTGCGGCGTGCAGCAGCTCCAGGTATCCGGATCCCAGGCCCACGCAGAGGGCTCCACACACCCGCACACAGTCCACACACCGACAGGGCCGCGTTAAGGGAAATCACCTGAGTTCATCCTCCACGCCCTCCTCACCCCCTACCTGCTGTGTTGTGAGAATATGGTAGAATGAAAACAACAGTTTCCAGTTCTTCCTTTGCCTCTGATACAAGTGTGATCGTGGGATCCTTTTGTTCATTTAAGCACATTTTATTATAAATTATTTTGTCAAAATACAGTGCTTGACATTAACCTAGAGAATGATTATAGGCGATTTTTCTTAAAACAAAGAGCGAGTCAGTTACCTTTATTAGTGCTTACTGTGCACCAAGCATTGTGCTTACCTTGTCCCCATGAAGCGGCCGTTCCCAAAGTTTTTGGCACCAGGGACCGGTTTTTCCACTGACTCGGGCAGGTGAAGCGGGGGGTGGGGGGGCGACATTCACTTGCTCACTGCTGCTCGAGTCTTGCTGTACGTGAACCCAGTGTGGGGAGGCAGGGGAGCAGGGGACTTCTCCCTGGGCCCAGCTCCTAACAGGCCATGGACCGTCACCCACCCGAGGCCTGGGGGTTGGGGACCCCGGCCATGAAGTACCTAGTTTCCCAGAAACACAGATACTAGGAAAATGGCTTTGCTCTTCAGTGGCCTCAGGGGCTGCCCACGGAGCAGAGGTTGCCGCGGGGCTGAGCGCAGCCTGTATTTCCTCCTCCTGTGCCTGTTGACTTTGGGAAGGATCCTGTCCTTTGAACATTCTGTCCGTGCTCAAAGCAGATTCAAATGTGGACTCACATCCCAGGCTCTTCCAACGGTCTTGAGCAATGACGTTACTTAAATATGGTTTGTCTGGAACTGGCATTAAGGTCTTAAGCTGATTCCTCATTAGGCCGCTCCATGCAGGCCAGGAAAGGGTTCACTACAATTTTCCTAACCTTTGTGTAGGAGGAGAGGGACATCGTTTAGTGACCTATGTGCTTGCTAACATGGTTGTTTTTTTTTTTTTCAGGTTGAAACCAACAGTTCAACAAATGTATTGATTTTATACAGAACCTCAAACTAGGTGATTCTGACAGGTAGAACTGAACAGAATCCAGAGTCCCTCCCTGCCTCGGGTTACAGTCGAGCGAAGGAACAGTCCTAAATTCACGTCACAACAAATCGCTTAAATGTCACATAATGGAAATAGACATCATTTGCCTCTACCCTACTGACCCCCAATCAGTGATGTGTCTTTCTCCATGGTCTTAAGCTAAGCATGACCCATACGGTGTTGCACTTTACATCCGAAGCGCCTCTCGGAATATCTGACAGAGAGCAGGTTTTCAGCAGATGCCAAACGAAACACTCTGTGGTCTCGGGCAGGTGAGTTTAATCAAAGAATCCTCCAAGGGCCATGTTTTTCTAAAAATAAACTTTTTCCCCTGACTTTAAGGTAATACATGCTCATTATATCAAATTCCGAAAGTGCTACGGAAAGTATAAATTACTTTGCTCCACCCATACATAAGTGATCACTATTACCATTTCTATCTAGTCTTTTTCTTTTAAATATTTTATTTATTTATCTTTAGAGAGGAAGGGAAGGAGAGAAGGAGAGAAATATCAATGTATGGTTGCCTCTCGTGAGTCCCCCACTGGGAACTGGCCTAGCAACCCAGGCATGTGCCCTGACTGGGAATTGAACTGCGATTGTGTGGTTCGCAGGCCTGTGCTCAATCCACTGAGCTACACCAGCCAGGGCTCTATCTAGTCTTTTTCTATAGAGTGATTGCCTCCTTAGCCATTAACATCTCATCACCTTACTTTTAATGTCTGCATAATACTCCATGGATGGGCAGGAGGTCACCATTTTTTTTGGCTATTATAAATATTGCTTCAACAAATACTTTGTTTATATTTTTCCAAAAGGATCTCAGACTGTATCTCTAAACATGAAATTGTTGGGAACATTTTTAAGATTCTAACTAAAGTTGCCAAACTATTTTTCCAGAAAGGCTAGTCCATTTCCATTCCCACTAGAAGCAGAAGTGAGGTTGTCTCCCACAACAATACAGAAATAATGCTTTAAGCAAGGACTTTTTTTTTCTTCAATGAGATTAGCAACTTCCCAGAAGAACAAGCATAAGAATGTTAAACTGTGAAACGAGTCATCATGGCAGACTCCTCTGTTGGCACCTGATCACTGCGTCCATGTTCCTTTGGCTTCTGTTTTTTCACTGCAAAGTATTTCCTGCCTTCCGAGTGAGCTCATACCCCGGTTACTTTCGATCTCCCAGTGAGCCTAATGATTTTCTGTTGTTGGCACTTAGTTGTTTCCAGTTTTGGCTATTAAATTTGCTATAAACATCTTTGCAGTCTCCCGCCCTCCACTTTCCCAGTGGTGAAATTACTTGACTAAAGAGTACAAATAATTTTATAGTTCCTTACACACTGCCGAGGTACTGGACAAGGTTTTTGTTTGTTAATTAGTTTGATTTTTAAAGGAAAGTTGGCTGTACAGAAGAGCAGCTGTGCGTGAACCATCTTTCCTGAGCAAGGTACAGCGGCCTGGCTTCTTAGCTGGGAGCCAGGCCACCTGCGCTTCCTCATGTGGGGAAGTCCCTTCTCCATTCTGATCCTCAGTGTTGGAATCCATAAAACGAGGGATTTGCATCGACTGCATTAAGGTTATCTTCTACCAGAAGGTCAGCCAAATTTCTCCCGGTCTGTTCTGTATCACCCAGAACAGTGCAGAGCAAAGGACACAACTCTGCTTCCTTTCCCTTGTCTGCAGAGTCCCACCCGAGTGCCCCCACACTCGTGTGTGTCACCAGAGGAGACACAGCAGAGTCTGGGAGTGCGGAGCTCAGGCTGGCGCTGATCAGCCTGCCACCTACCAGCTGTGGGCGACAAACTACCCTCCCAGGGGCTCAGTGGCACCACCTGTGAGTGAGGTTAACAACAGTTCCTACCTCATAGGGTTGCTATGAGTATTACATGAGTTCATGTTTGCAAACCACTAAGAGCGGCTGCCTGGCACTAGTGAGTGCTGTACAAAATATCTGTTGAATAAATAAAAGAAATGTAGCACATAATCTCGGGGTCTCTTCATACTGCAACGGCTCCTTGACTGCTGCCCCCAGACTCTTCCTTTCTGTTTGCTAAAGCTCAGAACGCTGAGTCCCAAATCTCTCCATTTAAAAGGCCTCATGCCCCCAGGATGGAGTAGATGCCTCAGCTTGAAGACCCAGGCTCTTTACACAGAGCTTTCTGGAAGTCTCTACTACTTCCTTTTATTTAAGGATCTCAGTTAATTTAAAAACAGAACAAAAGTAAAACCAGCAAAAAAGGCAAACAGGGTTACAAAAATTGAGGGGCATCTTTAATATTATATTGAGCAAAGTAAAGCATTAACACTTTCCAACCACCCAGTAAACTGTGATCATGCTGTTCACAAGATAATTGCCAAGGGTTCTCAGAGTTACTTCCCGCCACACAAGTGGAACAGTGTACAGAGGAGGTAGGAGCGTATCAGGGGCACCCGCGCACACTGGAGAGGGTCAGCGTCTGGACACTGGAGAGTGCGATCATATAAAGATGATGCCCTGAAAGAGTCTCCGCCACTGGAACAGACTCTCGCTGGAACAACCTCGGCCGCAGAGACAGCTCGTCTCCATCCACCTAACCAGGCTCCCTAACCCTGCCAGACCGACCGCCTCCCTCGCCACCTCGCCTTCTGCCAGGCCAACTTCTGCCCCAGAGCCCCAGGGCTTCCCTTGCACTCGGGGCTGTCATCCCAGCAAGGTAGCTCAGCACCTACGCAGTCTACCGGAACCGTTATCACCGCCCGCGGCGCCTTGGAGTGAACAGCCGCCAGTCGGGAAGTGGGATGCAGCGTCGACCCCCGTATCGAACCCACGAGGGGGCGCGCGTCTGCGCCAGCCAATGGCCTGCTACCGCCCGCCCTTACAGCAAGGCGAGGGCTCTCCGCGCAAAGCGGCCCGACCAATAGGAGCGCGCGCATAGGGGCACGGTGATCCCGGCCGCGGGTGGGGAAAACCGCGCGGCCGGCGGCTGGCTCCGGGCGCGCGCCAGCAGGCCGCCTCTCCTAGCACTCGAGGCCGGCGCGCCCCGAACGCTCGCCTGGCCACTCCTACCCAGCCGGCGCATCACATCGCCAGGCCCCGATGGCCCCCGAGACCGCGGCCCAGGGGCACACCCTGCGCTACTTCACCTGGGACGAGGTGGCGCAACGCTCCGGGCGCGAAAAGGAGCGGTGGCTGGTGATCGAACGGAAGGTGTATAACATAAGCGAGTTCACCCGCCGGCACCCCGGAGGCTCCCGGGTTATCAGCCATTACGCTGGGCAGGATGCTACGGTGAGCCCTGCCAGACTGGGACACGGGAGGAGGCGGGCCAGTGGCTCAGTGCGCGAGACAGGAAGTTCGGCGTCTGCAGTCAAATACCAACTAATGGGGGAAAGTTGGACGCGCCCGAGCATACCTGTTGCCCAGCGACTGGGTGTGCGGTGGCCACGGGCTACACGGGCCGGAGCGGCTGCGAAAACGAGCCTGGGGAGTGGGGAATGAAGGTCGGCGACGCACACACACACAAACAAAGGGCTGCGCGGCCCTGCGTGCGTTCCGACTGCGGCCGCGAGCCGGCAGTCTCCAGGCCGTGGGCCGGCCTGAGCAGGACTGGGAAGTAGAAGAGCGAGGATGCAGGGCGCCGGCATGGCATTGCTGCCGCGGCCGAGGGAGGCAGGGGTTGTCGAGGGTACGTGGGAGGGGAGCGCAGCCGCTTCTCTACTGAGCGTTCTAGGCTATACTCGTGAGTGGGAGCAGGAGAGAACCACTCTTGGGATGAGGGATGAGGTGGGAAGCCACCCGGTGCCCACCGTCTTGGGAATCCCTGCGTAGGGTGAAAGCGAGAGGGTGGGGAAGGGGTCGCACCGGCCGGAGAGGACTAGCGGCAGCTTACACTGGGGGTAATGGGATTGGCGTGCTGAAGGTTGTGGGGGGGAGCTGCATTAAGATACACTTGGCGAGGACCCCAGAAAGGTCTTCGAATCCTGGGGGGTGGTCACTCAGCCGCAGGCCAGCGGGGTCCCCAGCTATTCACTGCAGCAGACGGCTTTTTTGCATTCTCCGGGGCGTAGTCCCGTTGCAGGGTCCTAACCCTCCTCTCTCGTGCTGTCCCAAGGAATCAGCGCGCGCCCCAGCCCTGGTCCTCTTGCTTCCCTTTCTAGACCGACCATCTGGTTCTCTGAGCTAAGGCGCCTGGCGCCTACCTGCTGGGTTGGAGAGCTGGGGATCCCCCCGGGGACCCAAAGGTTGGAGCGTTCGCTTGGCCCAGTCCCTTTTCCCTACATCCTTCTCCCACCCCGCACCCAGTAGCTTGACCTCTTCTGCTGGTCCCACTCGCCGCCTTCGCCATCCCGGAGCGCGCCTGGGCCCATCAAGGTTCCCGTTATGCGGAGCACAGGTGCTTCAAAGTGAGGGCCCTTCCTTCTTACGCCGCTGACCTGGGGGACCGGACCAGAGCCTGCGCTTGTCACCCAGGGTGACAAGCCCTGGGGGGGAGCCCAGACCCTGGCCAAAGTCCAAGTCCTGGGCCCGCGCATGCGCCAGAGGCATTAAAGCCAGGGCTTTCCAGTATGATTTGGGGCGAGGGCCATCCTGGGGCTGGGACCGCGATTGGTCCGGCTGTGTGGCGCCACCAGCCGCCGGCTCCGCCCCGGGTCTCCGCCCCTCCTGTGGATTACCCACAGGGCTTGGGGCCTCCTAACCTAAGGATGTGAATCTTAGCACCTAGGACCCCACCTCCAATAACCAAAACTAGCAGCCCTGTGGCAGGGTGTAGTCAGAGTGCCAGGGGAAATATGCAAAGCCCACCCAGAACAGTGCCCTAGGAGAAGGAGAAAGTTCCCTGCTTCTGATATGGGGAGTCTCATCACGGAGGATTGAGAACGCAGGCACAGAGAGGGATTTAAGTCCTGCAGAAAAAGACAAGAGAAGTCTCATAGCCCCATCCATCCCTCTGCTACTCACAGAATTACCTAAATTCCTATGTAAAAGCTGTCCCTAGAACTTCCCAGGGGAAATGCTGGAAAAAGGTCTTTCTGTGGCCCCCGCAGCCGTGCTTCCTATTGGCTTGTGTGGTTCCCTTCTAACTAGACTGCAGATGGTGGGTGGTCCTGAACTGTGGGCCCTTAGAAGAGGTATGAGCACCCTTAAAGGGCTGCTGGCTGGAGGGAGGTGGTGTCCCTTTGAGCTTTGGTGCAGCCTCCTTGCCGGATCAGGAAGATGACTTTTGGGGGAGCCCCCCAAGAGCCCAGCGGGTCTGGGCCAGCTTCCTCACTGTTCTGTGTTCGTCTCACCCTTGCAGGATCCCTTCGTGGCCTTCCACATCAACAAGGGCCTCGTGAGGAAGTACATGAACTCCCTCCTGATTGGAGAGCTGTCTCCGGAGCAGCCCAGCTTTGAGCCCACCAAGAATGTGAGACCCCACTCGCTGTTTGAAGAGCCTGTGGTTGCCGAGAGGCAGGGGGCAGAGGGAAGGCCTAGACGGGATCATCGGTGACTGTAGTCAGTAGTTCTTGGGAGTCTTGAGATCCCCAGTGCTTCTGCATAGTCACCGGGTCACAGGCCCGAGGGAGCAGGGCTTTGGAACCCGTGGTCCTCACGAGGCCCCCACGATTACCATCATCATCAAACATGAGACCTACCTGGAGCACTTACTCTGTGCCAAGCATAACCTCATTAACCCTCAGACATGTACAGATGAGAATACTGAGGCTCAGAGAAGCTAAGCCACGTGGCCAAGGATCATAACTGTTGGTAAATGGCAGAGCAGGGACTTGAATCGAGTGTAACCTCCAAAGTGCACATGCTCTGAGGGGTGCTCTCCTAGCACCTCCTCCCGTCATCCTCAGTCTTGTGCTATTTTCACCTAGCAGTGGACTTTCCACTGCTCCCTCAGTGGGCGTCCTCATGCCCTCGTCACCAGCAGTGCTGGGCTGCAGCTGGGAGGAAACGACAGCCTCTCCCCCTCTCTCTCAGAAGGAGCTGACCGATGAGTTCCGGGAGCTGCGGGCCACAGTGGAGAGGATGGGCCTTATGAAGGCCAACCACGGGTTCTTCCTGCTGTACCTGCTGCACATCCTGCTGCTGGACGTGGCCGCCTGGCTCACTCTTTGGGTCTTTGGAACGTCTTTCGTGCCCTTCCTCCTTTGCGCGGTGCTGCTCAGCACGGTTCAGGTGAGAGCGCTTGGCTGGGCATGTGCACAGCCATGCTCACCGTTCCTGGGGAAAGCTCTCTGCACCCCTCAGGAGGCCAGGGCACCCTCTCTGATGGGCAGAGCCCAGGACCTGCGGGAAGTCGGTGCAGAAAGAGAACACACGTTTCGTTGTCCGTGGCTCGTTCGCCGCTGGCACACCTTCATGTCTCTCGCTGCCTCTCCAGCTGCTTCTCCCAGGGCTGCCTTCGTCCTGTTCAGGTTCTGCCATCTATCGCCCAAGTGTGCCAAGAGCCAAGATTCTGGTTTATCAGCGAAGCCTGGCTTCCTCCCACCACAAGACTGCCCCACACGCTAGTGATGCTCGGGCTCCAATACTTGGCTGTCTGAGTCCATTCGCCAAGCCTCTGAGTTTGTCACTTTCTGTCCTTCTCTGTATAAGTCTGGGTGTTCAGGCCATTGTCCGTCACAGATCTCCAGAGCCAGGGGAACTACTGGACGGGGAAGGGAAGGTGCTTTAGCCCGACTCTCATATGAGCTGGTGGCTTGCTCTCAGCTCCAACCTTTCTCACCCAGGCCCAGGCCGGCTGGCTGCAGCATGACTTCGGACACCTGTCTGTCTTTAGCACCTCCAGATGGAACCACCTGCTGCATCATTTCGTGATCGGTCACCTGAAGGTCAGTGGGGTGGGGAAGGCTAATGAAGGACGACTCGGGGAGAAGCAGGGCGCTAGGCTGTCATGCTCGTGTCTTGTCTTTTCTGTAGGGGGCCCCTGCCAGCTGGTGGAACCACATGCACTTCCAGCACCATGCCAAGCCCAACTGCTTCCGCAAAGACCCTGACATCAACATGCACCCCTTCTTCTTTGCCCTGGGGAAGATCCTCTCTGTGGAGGTGAGTGGAGGTATCAGTGCAAAGGTCCTGGAGAATGCAGACACGCCAGCACAGAGGGCTGTGCAGGAGATGCTCAAATGCTGTCGGTGTGGGGTGACACTGGGAGATGGCTGCCCAGCTGTTTGGAAGTTGTGGGAGGCCACAGGTCATGAATGGGCTGCGGACAGAATCACCCGTCCTCCCCGGTGAGTTTGAATCAGGAAAGGAGTTACTGTACAAAGGCATCGTGTGCTGCTCTGGATCCAAAGCGTAGCTGGGAGGTCACCGTGCAGACGCCTGCTCACCCCTGAAGGTGATGATGGATGGCCCTCCTCGGCTGCTTTTGTGACACTCCTACCCCAGGCAGTCATCCCCCTGCCCACACTGTGTCTTCTGCTCTCTTACACTTTGAAATCCGGCTGAGTCACAGTCTTCCCATCAAGGGCTTGACTTGCTTACCCTTTTTGACACCCACTGCTTAGAACACTCATTCACCAAATAATTCTTCCCGCCCAGCTGGTCCCAGCCTCCTTTCCAGGGGGGGTCAGCGTCAGGCTTGAGCTGTTACCTGGGGTTGTAAGGCAGCTGCGGCAGGAAGGACGCCTGAGGGTGGAGATCTGGGGAGGTTTCAGTGAGCAGGATAGAACAGAGGGCTTTGAGCGGCCGGCAGAGGAGTTCCCCGGAAAGTCCATGTAAAACCCTTTGTCCCGAGGCTCTCGGCTGCAGTGAGAGTTCTGCCAGGCCCCCTTTCACCCCTTAATGACATTTCTTCCTGCCAGGAATTAAACTGCCGTTAAACGCAGTTCAGTCCCAGGCCTGCGTTCAGGGTGGCCTGGCTTTCCCCTCCCCTCCGGCCACGAGGAGAACTCTGTGGAAGGGCGTGGGCAGCACTGGCTGTCCTGGAACCAGGAGCCCCCTAGACTGAAGCTGTGCCCCCCTCCCCCCCCCCCCCCGCCCCCGTCTGTAACGTCCTAATCTCCCTCCTGCACAGGGACCTGCGTCCTCTAGTCAACAGTGGGGCCAACAGTGGGGACAGGGAACCAGCCCTGGCCCCTCCTGGCTCAGATGGACGCTTTGAGGGTAGTATGGGTTATTTTTTTAAAGATTTTATTTACTGATTTTTAGAGAGAGGCAGGTAAAGGAGGGAGAAAGCGGGGGAGAGAAACATCAACGGGTGGTTGCCTCTTGCAGGCCCCCACACATACTGGGAACCTGACCCTCTCTACCCAGGCATGTGCCCTGACTGGGAATTGAACCTGTGACCCTTCGGCTCACAGGCCAGCACTCAATCCACTGAGCCACACCAGCCAGAACCATGTTTACAGATTTCTCGCCAGCTTACAAATTCCACGTGTAGGGACTTTGTACTGTTCGCCTCTGAATCCTCAGCACCTAGAATAGTGCCTGGCACATAGTAAGTGCTCAATAAATACTTGTTGACTAACTCAGTTAGTAGAGAAAGAATGCTTCATTTAGCAGAAGTGCCTTGCACAGAATAAACTCTTAATGAGTGACCCATCAAAGCAGTGGGTAGACATATGAAATGAGGAGCAGGCGTTTTGCTCTGGGTGGAGCTCCTCTTTGCCTCGTGGTTGTCTGGTCGCCAGAACCGAGCAGGGCGAGAGGAGCAGAAGCAGCCCTCGGGTCAGACCTCGGAGCTCTGCCGGCGCATTTCCGCGTGCCCGTGCTGGGACTGCACACTGGTGGCCCTGTCCTTCAGCTAGGCTCACAAGATAACTGCCACCTGCTGGGGAAAAACGCCATCTTCAGACTGCCAGACTTTGCTTCAAAGGGTTTTATAAAGCTCACGTCGAAGTCAAGAGACCCAAAATATTTCGATGGGGAATAATATCAGGGGTGGATGTAGAGGGAATACTGATGTGTGCAGGAGTAAAAAATGGCTTTCCATGGAGACTTTGGTGGCGTCAGAAAAGCACCAAATGGGAGAAAGGAAGGGGAGAAGGTGGAGGGGCAGGAAACCTCACTGACAAAGGCATCTTCTGATCCATGGGAGGAGTCCTGAGGACTTGACACTGTGTGTTCGACTGAACTGCATGTCACGGGGCGGCTGGCACATGCAGCGGGCCAAAGCCCAGGGCTCCATGTGCCAGGGGCTGGAGGTAAGACTGGGCCGCCGGAGCCTGCCATACCCCCGGAAGCTGGCAGCCCCTGGAGTAGGCCTGAGCTCCTGAGCAGAGAACAGCCGAGGTCCGAGGGGGAGGACAGTGGGGGACCGGCGTGTGGACGCTGATTTGCGTTTGCTTTTCTTCACAGCTTGGGAAGCAGAAGAAAAAGTACATGCCATACAACCACCAGCACAAGTACTTCTTCTTGAGTGAGTGTCCCCTGCCAGGACAGGGAGGCTCCCTGGGGAGGGGTCCTGAGGGGTCGGGAGGAGGAAATGACTCTCCAGGGGAGGACGGTATTTTAGGTAAAGGCCGGAGGAAGTCCTCCATCCCAAAAGGTTACTCCGGGCTTGGTGTAATTGGGGGCAATCCACCACCTCAACTAAGCAAAGTCAACGGTCAGGTTAATGTTTAGTCAAAGGCGGTTTGTGCTGGGGGCAGACCAGTTCCTTCAGTCCCACCCTGGCTCCCACAGGAGAGCGAGTGGTCAGGTGGGGCCACCCCTACCTTGAACCTTGTTGAACGGAGACCTGGGTCAAGGGGACCCCGTGGGGTACAGTCTACCCCCCAAGGACTCGTAGATGTAGGGATGGAGGTTTGGGCCTGAAGAGGGACTTGAGGAGCTGTCGGAGGAAGGAGACAACACTTCTGTGGTTGTCTCCAGCTCTTCCTGAAGACTGCCGTCTGTTCCCTCCTTTAAAAATCTGCTCTGTCACGTTTAAACTGAGTTTTAAAACTTTCAAAGTTCAGATTTTTAAAGGAAGGGAGAGGGTGATTCCACTGATCCCATTTTAGTTCAAAGGAATTTACCCCTAACTGCCTAGTACCAACCACCCTGCGGGAGAAAAGGGGACGAGGCAGAGGGTGGGCGGACGTGTCCGGAAGAGGAGAGAACGTGGGAATGCAGGACACGGAGGGTACAGGAGCCGTGGGGGGACGTGGGGGCGTGGGGGCGTGGGGGCTATGCAGACAAGAGAGGAGGAAATGGGGCAGCGCACTGGCACCATCCACTTCTTCACCTCCCAGTGTTGACGGCGGCCCTTCTGCCCCTTCCCACCGCCACACTCGGGGGCTTCGGGCCGGGCGGCACAGACTCGTCTCCCACCTGTGAAGGATCAACGGGGCAGCCTGTCCTCTAATACACACACACGCACACACTGTCCTGCTCCTGTCCCCTCACCTGCATGGCGGAGCAGCCGGGAGCACAGGGCGGAGGATTGCCAGGAGAGGCATAGGGTCAGTAGGCAGACCCCTGGCAGGGGCAGGGCTGCGGCCGGGACAACTCGGGGGGCATTAGCCACGCCCTTCTAAAGGCATGGGAGCGGAGCAAGTCCCACGCGTGGGGCTTGGGGGTCCCTAGCTGCTGTCCTCCACTAGAAAAGAGTGCCAGCCCTGCCCTCACTGTCCTGGCATCCTCTCGGGAGACTTGGCCTTCCTTGGACTGGCATGTATGCCCACCTTCAGTGCCTGCTGGTTCCAGGGGATGTGCCAACGAAAGGCAGCTGGAGGGGCCCCCGGAGGGGGTAGCAGAGATGCTGGAGGCTGTCCGTCCAGCGTCGGCCAGCCCGTTAGTGCCCTTCACTGCTCACACCTCCTCCCTGTCTCCATTTCCTCCCCAGTCGGGCCCCCAGCCCTGCTGCCTCTCTACTTCCAGTGGTATATTTTCTATTTTGTTGTCCAGCGGAAGAAGTGGGTGGTGAGTATCTGCGGCCCGGCGGCCGCACTTCCTTTGTCTGCAGTGCCCTGAGGGAGGGGAAGGGCGTCTCCAGGGGGAATCCACTGAGGTTCAGTCCATCCCTACTTTAGAGCAAATAGAGCCAGATACGGAGCTTCCTTCTAGGTGGGGTGATTTGGGCTTGGCAGGCAACCCGACTCCCGACGTCCTGTTTCATTCAGCAGTATCTCCTGAGGTTCTTGTGCTGGGAATAAAGCCAGGGGCGGGCTGGGGAAAATGAGTAAGGGATGGCACCTAATCTCAGGAAACTTCTCATGAAGCAAAATGTGGTTGACCCCAGAGAAGAGGTACAGTACAGGCAGAAGGTTCTGAGACCCCAAGGGGGGCATGACTACATCAGCTGGGTGAGAGGGAGGCATCGGAAAAGGCTTTGTTACGTCACTTTTCTAACTGGCTGTGGAGGACAGACAGAGGTAGGGTGGGGAACAATGGACTCTGAGCAGAGAAGCTGGGAAGTGAGGGGTGAGTTTTGCACTGGACATTCTGTGGAGGACTCAAGTGTCGGATCAGGGTGCTGGCGTGGACTGAGCCCTGGTCCCGGAAGATCCACTTGGCATCGTGATGAAGACGTGAAGGACTGAGCTGGGTTGGGAGGAGCTGGAGGCAGGGGGCTCTGCGGGCTGTGGCACCCGAGAAGGAAGCGGGCAGGGAGGGCTGGGCTGCCCCCAGCAATGGACGGAAGGAGCAGCAGCACTGGAGACCGCGGGACTCAGCGACAGAGGGGGGTGCCGACGATGACGCGGTGTTCCAGTCTGGGTTCCCGGAAGAACAGCCCCCCCGAGCAGAGACAGGTGAAGCGAGAGGTGAGTCCGCGCCCGTGCCCGTCTAACGCTCTCGCCCTGTCCCTGCAGGACTTGGCCTGGATGATCACCTTCTACGTCCGCATCTTCCTCACTTACGTGCCGCTGTTGGGAGTGAAAGGCTTCCTGGGCCTTTTCTTCATGGTCAGGTGGTGTCAGATGGGGAGCAGGGTTTGGCAAGGAAATGAGGTCCGGTCGGGGGTCTGCGCTGCGGCTTTGGGTGGCGGGGGTGTCTCGGGTCTTGGCTCAGGAAGGCGGCCCGGCTGGAGCAGTTGCCCAAAGGAGAGTGAGAACTCGGGGCTGTGCTTGCCCGGTTTTCATTCATGCGTCACACCCACCAGGTTCCTGGAGAGCAACTGGTTTGTGTGGGTGACGCAGATGAACCACATTCCCATGCACATCGATCGTGACCAGAACAGGGACTGGGTGTCCACCCAGGTAAGGGGCGGTCTCTTGGAGGACCTAGGCGTGATACAACTGAGAAAGAGGGTGGGTGGACAGAGATGCCAGGCAGGGGGTTGTGGGGGAGCGGGGATAACAAAAGCTCTCAGCAGCACTGCCTCGTTAACTGGAAGCTTCTCCCACTACCATGTGGAGAAGGGAGTGACCAGGGACAGCCCCACGGCCCCTCCCCTCAGACAGCTTCACCTGGACGGGGCTGGACTGGCCTGGACTGGCCTGGACTGGCCTTTGCGCCTGCCGTTCAGAGCCACGCTCGCCCCTCCCCTTTTCCTCCAGCTCCAGGCGACGTGCAACGTCCACAAGTCTGCCTTCAATGACTGGTTCAGTGGACATCTCAACTTCCAGATTGAGCACCAGTGAGACGGGAGATCCGGGAAGCAGGGCCTTGGGCGGGGTCCACGTGGGAGGGGCAGGTGGGAGCAGAAGAGTAGGAGCCACTGACCGTCCCCTGTCCTCCCGGAAGCCTTTTCCCCACGATGCCGCGGCACAACTACCACAAGGTGGCCCCCCTGGTGCAGTCCCTGTGTGCCAAGCATGGCATCGAGTACCAGTCCAAGCCCCTGCTCGCGGCCTTCGCCGACATCGTCCAGTGAGTATCTGCCCCTGGGCAGATGCTAGCAGGGCAGGAAGGGGACAGGGCAGTGGGGTCGGAGCCGTGGGAGGTCCCCCCAGCGGGATGGAGGTCACCAGGGCAAAAGCAGTGCACTCGTGGTCTTGTGGCCTGCTCAGTCCTTTGCTCTCAGTGCCACAGCCCAAGCTCTTCGTCAAAGGGGAGGAAAGCGTCCCCATGGAAGGGGCCCTCCATCATGGAGACGGGCTTCCAAACCTTTGCAGAGCTTCCCCACTGCATTCCTGGTGGGTGGCTGGGCTTTGGGGTTCGGCGCTCCCCTTCCTCACCGCCTATTCCCATCGGATCTGCAGCTCGCTGAAGGAGTCCGGGCAACTCTGGCTAGATGCCTATCTTCACCAGTAACAGCAGCCCCCACCTGGAAGAGGAGCCCCTGGAGCCAAGAGAGGGGAACCTGTGGGACAAAGCCACTACAGTTCTGATATCCAGAGGGGGTCTGTTTGAGATAAAGGCTGTGGCTCAGACTCCTCCCCTTTGTCTTCAGCAGGATGCAAAGAGGGAGGGAACACGCACATTCTCTGCAAAAGGGATGGAGCTGTTAGGGGAGGGGTGTGAGTTTTGTTTTTCCTTTCTTTGTGTGTCAGGTGCAGATGGTTGGTGAGTTAAGAGGGCGTCAGGAAGCTGTTCGAAGAATAGGGAGACCAGCTGAGCCCAGAAATCAAGAGACTTAGCAGTAAAATTCCAGCCAGTGCCTGGGAGCTCAGCTCCCTTCAGGGCTGTGCCCTGTTTGCCTCAGGCTACTGCAGAAGCAAGTTCTCCATATTTAGAAGTAAACAGGGCAAAGGCCAGGACTGTGGTGTTGAAGACACCTGCCCCCCCACCCCCACCCCCAAGGATACTGCCACTGCTGATTTTGGTCTCACGTTCCATCTGAAGTACCAAGGGAGCATTAGGTCCTGGGTCTTGCCGAAACAGTCAGCAGAGTGTTACTGGCCATCAGAACTCCCTTCAGCTTTTGATTCACCTCCTAACCAGCACGCGAGCGGCAAAACACTCCTAGACAGGGAGTGCACTTCTTGCTCTGTGAACAAATGAGCAGATAGGCAACTGAATTTTCTCCTTAGAAACGAAGAAAGGCCTGCTAACGGTTCTCTTAGCTTCTCTGCCTCTAATTCCAGGTTTAACGCAGTAGCAGTCAGTGAGCGGTCATCAAGCTGGGAGACACTGAATCACCAGTGACGAGGAAAACACAGGTTCACTCCTCAGGGATGTAAGGGTGGAGATAAGTTTTCTGAACACCCATCGTGCGCAGCCTTACCGTAGAGCAGGACGATGGAGTCAGTCACTGCATAGTCCTACACCAGGAAGGGAAAGGCACACCCGGTTTGCGCTCATCTGTTGCCGTCTTGGGCACTTAACTCTGTCAGTTCTGTTCAAGGATCTTCCTCTGCTGGAGGCCAGGTAGGAATTTAGGATGATCTCTTATCAGTGTAATACTGAAACACAATTTTTACAAGATCTTGTTTTTTTAAAAGATAAAAACAGTCGGACCCATCCCCAGAGAGCTACCATAGGAGTGTGCCCCAGAGTCCCACCTCAACTCCAGGGCGCGCCATCAGCACCCACCCCTCTCCCCACCCCCCACCATGGCCCTTCAGTCCAGCCGAGAGGGTTCTTCGCCCTGTCTTCATTGGATGACATCTGCCACAGGCACACTGAGCGTGTGGGACGCTGGTGGGAGGGACCTCAGACTGGAAGGTCACAGAACCCTGGGCGAGCTGTGCTCGGTGCTGGGAGAGAAAGGTAGCCAGGTAGGTCAGGGTGCTAAGGCGTGTTGGGACGGGACTAGAGGCACCGCCGAGGGAATGGTGATTACTCAGAGGTTTGTCGAAACAAAAGTTAACAAAACAGCCTTGCTGAGAACAGGTTGCAGAGGAGTTCAGGTCCTTTTCATTTCAGCAGAACGTGGTTTAACTTACAATTGAAGACTTCCACTCTCACCAGCCAAGTCCAGATCCTCAGAGCACCTGTACCACGTGGCCCTCCTTCCTTGGCCTAGACCAGTGGGGTCTCATGTGGCCGAAGGGCGGCACACCAGTGACAAAAGGCTCAGACTGCACGAGGGACATCAAATCTAATGACCAGAAAACAGGCTTAGGACAAGTCACAGGTCACGGCAGAACTAATATTTGAATTCACTCCTGAAAAACTCCAACTTTCCTGTTTGTCCCTGTTTTTTCTTACCACTTGGCCAGAGGCGTTTTCTTAAGCCCAGTATCGCTGTCTTTTTGGTACGTGCCAACTTTGTTAACACATTTTGATGACGTAAAGCTGAAAAATAAAGTTAATTTTGACCCAGTGCAGACCATTCACTTGTGTTCCACAGTACTCCGTCCACGTCAACAGGACTCCGTTCTGCGCTTTAAGTTACTACCCACCTCAATGGCTCTGACCTCGCTCTGCACACGGGTCCCCCACAGCCTCCCTTTGCATAAGCCCCTTCCTTGGGCAGAGGAAGGTGCATCGGGGCCTCCAGAAAACACCAGGACACCGGTGGACTGCCGAGGACAAGAAAAGCCAAGCCCTTCCCATGACACCCACATTCAAATGCTAGATCCACTTGCCAGGTTTGATGTGCATTCCTTCCTATCAGGAGGCAATGGCCTTGCCCTTGAACTCATTTCTAGTCTCACTTTGGGTAGTCCCCGTCAGTAGTCCTTTCGCCTAAATCTCTGCAGGCACAACACCCACTACAATACCTCCATCCTACTAGGATAGCGATCTTTGAGCAAGAATATTAGTACGTGGCTTAAAAATTTGGGACAGAATAGATTTTCCCTGTAGTGTATAGTGGTTACTAAACACCCATAAAAACCAGGCACCTCAACTTCAAAGAGGGAAGCAAACCACTTGACATGTTTGTCCACCACAGGGTACAAGCCCTTAACTAGAGCTATTGCTCTGAGGCAAGTAATTCCTCTGGAGTGGGGGAGAGAAACTTGACCCTCAAGGTTGTCCTGGCTGGACTAATCAAACACATGTGAGATTAGCCAGAGAAAATAGCCCAATTTAACAAGAACACGTGAGAACTCCACACACACGAGACTCCCCATGCACTAGAGGTTCAGGGATAAAAAGGGGAACGTGGGTACACAAGACATTCTGACTAGGAATTAGGTAGGGTGCCTTGGGACTCAGGGCCACTGCTGAAGAGCAGAAGGAAGAAAGAGGAAGTCCACCGGGTCCTGTGGAGAGGTTAGAAGCGGTTCTGATAACCTCTTACCACCTCTGGGACCGACACCATGACCACAGACTTCAGATCCGATGATGGGAATCAGAAAATGGAGCTCAACTTAAGGGTGTGGGTTGGCTTGATCTGGGGAAAACTGGTTTTACTCATCAACTGAACAAGACAAACTGCCCTCAGGACAGAACTTTCCGTCCACACCAGTGGTTTCCAGAGCCCCCTAGTGACAGCTATCCGATTCGTACTTCAACCTCCTGAGATCCCACATAGGATTTTCACTGGAAACACAGGCTGCTCCACTAGAAACTGTGAAAAACACTCACCTTCGGTCTTCTACCTGCTGTCAGAATACCCACTTAACTCCAGACCACTTCATGCCCTTGGTAACACATACAAGCAATGATAGGAATGCTAATTAGACACTCAGACAGGACGCCTCCCCACCAAGTTTTATCAAAATTTTCCAAAGTACAGAAACATCCACCCGGATGAGAAATAACCACCTAAATGTGACGTCAGAAAAAGAACAAGTGATTTTTGAATGGCAGCTTTCACAATCTACAAACTGGCAAATGTGTGGATGTTATACAGTAGTTGGTCTCAATTGTGAGGTTTCCTCAAAGGAGTTCCTTTATTTCACACAGGTGGAAAGCTGGGAATTGCCTTCCTAGCGAGATAAACTTGCTTCTCTCCTCCAAGGGCTGAAGCACCACCTGAGCTGCTTAGGCCATTCGTGGGGATATGGCGCCACCTTGTGGCCACACTCAAACCACCAGTTCATAGGGTACCATCGCAGCATGTTGAGTGAAAACACTACATTCTGCTCACTTTTACAATTTTATTGACTCTTTTCACACGTCTAAAACAAAAACAGCACATGACAATAGCATCAAATCCCAACTCAGCTGATTACCTCAGAGATGACATGAGAACTAAGCCACCTTATACCTCTGAATAACTAAAGATTCAAGTTACATAGCAAGTTCAAGTTTCTGCTCACTCCAGGACACACAGCCAGTTTCCCACCCCGGGGGACTCCAGCCCTCCATCCATCTCACTTTTCAGCAGCTCTTCCTATGGACGAAAGACCAACTCTTCCTGCTGGCTACCCTGCAGGGCGGGTCGAGGCTGCACCAGGGAGAGGAGTGCAGTCAGGTCCCAGCATCACTGGCCAACAGTCAACAGCCAGGAAATTGTCCCCATAGTCTTCTGTCTTTGCCATTTATCTTCCTCTCCCTTCTTCAAACTTATTGCTATCACTCTTATGTAACAACGGACTCAGTGTCTATTATTAAATTGACCGAAATGTGGTTCGACCCGACATACTTTCCTGAGCTAAACAAGAAGGAAACGAATCCCCTCCACGGCTTCCTGCAGCACATCAAGTACAAAGGGGAAAAGCCCTATGAAAGGCGGTGCAGGGGAAGCCCTGCGACCCCTCCCTGCCCCACGGAGGTTTCTCTAGTGCTAGCTCTTGAGGGTACAAGGTAGACATCCTGGGGTCAAGGAGGTACAATGAAGGGAAACATTTATTTCCCCCTTTTAAACTTCCCTGCCGCCCCAGTCTTTGCCTTCTTCTTCGCAGACCCCTTGGGTTCTGGCTCCTTGCGCTTAGCTGAAGAGAGCGAGCCAGTCACCTTGAAGAAATCTTCCAGGCGGCCCTGGGTGCTGCCTTGGCGGCTCTTGCTCAGCCGCCTGACCCCACTGCGAATCCGCTCCTCAGAGAACTGCTTTTCACCACACATGAATCTGACGAGCTCCTCTTCCTTGGGCTCGCTCCACTTCAGCTCCACAGACTCGGGGTCCAGCACCTCGGGCTCTAGGAAGAGCTGCTGGGCCTCTTTGTGCAGCCAGTTTTCCGGCACAGGGTACTTGGTGGGATCAAGTCGGCGCACAATCTCCTCGATGCTCTTGTGCTTCTGGATGAGGTCCACAGCCCGCTTGGGCCCGATGCCCCGAATGCTCTCACAGTAGTCGCTGCCCAGCAGGATGCACAGGTCCACAAACTGCTCCTGGTTCAGGCCCAGCTCTTGCAGAATCCGGCTCAGGTGAAATTCCTGGATGGGCAGCTTCTTGGCTTCACTGGCGGTCAGGTGCCGCATTAGCACGGGGCTGCCGAAGGTCAGGCAATCCATGTCCTCCGTGGCTGCCGCGTAGACCTTGCCAGCCTTCACCAGGGCGGCGCAGCTGGCCTCTGCCTCGCTGGGTGCATCGAGGTACGGGACACCCATGAGGCTCAGCAAACGCTTGCACTCATCATTGTGTTGCTTGGTGACCTTCACCAGCCGCTTAGTATACTTCTCCACGTCCTCCTCAGCCCCAATGTCCTGAGCTTGCTGCAGCTGCTTCTCCGCCTCGGCCCGCCGCTCACTGCGCTTGGCCAGCTCACCTGACTTGAGCTGCGGAGGCTTGCCGTCAAAGACGTACACGGGCTTGATGCCGTTCTCTATCATGCGGATGGTGCGGTAGAACATGCCCATCAGGTGGCTGGTGGTCTCACCCTCCTCATTCTGCAGCACATCCCCACCGTGGCGAACGGCAATCAGGAACTGATAGATGCTCATGGAGGCGTCGATAGCCACCTTTCGGCCAAAGTAGCTCTTGATGTCGTGCTCCCGGATGGCACTGGGGGCCACATCAGCAATCAGTTTGGCCAGGCCTTGAATACCCATAGTGGTACAGAGGAGGGACAGCTAAAAAAGGCAAATAAAACAAGGAGGAATGTTAAGGATGCAAAAAAACAAAGTTATAATTGGTGCTAGCTCACCAACTTCATGCTTTCAGTTAGCACAACAAAAAGCACATCCAGTCAGCAATACAGAAGATGAGAAGATGAACAAGGCAAGGTTCCCGCTGCCAAGAAACTCCCCATATAGCAAGAGGAGCTCCATTGAGCTCCACTCAATTAATACTAAGGCTTCCCGAGTGTAACTGAACTGGCTCCTGACAGGAATAAGACACTGTTGGGGTCCCTAAGGCGGCAAAAGGGCTAGCAGGCGGTAAGGGCTACGTCTTCATCAAGGACAATGCAAATCCAGTGTGCCTGTCCCAACTTGAGGAGCCCAGGGTTCCATCACAAAGGCAGAACTGAGCCCCGAAGGGCAGGCAAATACTAGTTAGACAAAGGTGAGATGTGACAGGTCCCAGAGCAACCACAGTACGTGACTGAATGTGTCAAGCAGTGAAATGATCATGGTCACTCACCTTCTTGCCAATAACTGAAAACCACACTCGTTCCTCCCCAACACACTCACCTCCCTGAGCAGCTGTGCTTCCTCTTCTGTGCCAACTTGGCTAGGCCATGACATCCAGTTATTTACCTGAACACCAATCCAGGTGTGGCTGTGATGTATTTTGTGGATGTGAATAACATCTATAATCAGCTGACCTTAAGTAAAGGAGACTGCTTTCCATAACGGGGGCGGGCCTCATACAAACAATCTGAACAACCTTGACGGCAATAACATGTTTCCTGAAGAAGAAAGTCTGCCTCAAGACTGCAGCATAAAAAAACAAAAACAAAACCAAACCAAAAACCTGCGGCACCAACTCCTGAGTTCCAGGCCTGTCAGCCTGCCCTGTAATTTTCAAATTTGCCAGCTCCTACAATCACCCGAGCCAGTTCCTTACAATAAGTCTCTTCGGATCAACAGCCTACATATCTGTGTGTTCTTTCTCTGAAGAGCCCTGACTGGTACAGCAGTCGAGTCGGATGGGAGTGACCCAGCTCTCGCACACGTAGCGCTTAATCTCCCTCCCGCACCCCCTCAGCATTCCCGAGTTCCTACTTCTACCACGGTGTCGCCAGTTCTCAGTCCTTCCCCTGCATGTTCTCTCCACCATGAAGCCTACGGTGTGAAACCCGGGGCTCCTACGCCACCCAGGGGCCTGATCTCATCTCTCAGGCCAGCACTGCATTTCTGCGGTTCAAGCCCCCCGACAAGTGTTTCCTAGGGCAGTGTCCCCCAAACTTCAGCCAGGCCCAAACCACACTCACATGTTTTGCTACTGCCAGCAGAACCTGTACTTTCATTCGCTTACAATTTCATGAAATGGACACCACCAAAAAACTAAGACAGCTGCTTGCCTTGGCCGGTGTGGCTTGGTTGGTTGGAGCACTGTCCTGTATCTGAAGGATGGAGGGTTCGATTCCTAGCCCGGGTGTGTACAATCCCTGGTCTGGGTGCGTACAGCGGGCAATGCCTCTCTCTCACATTGATGCCTCTCTGTCCCTGCCTCTCTCAACGTTGTCTCTCTCTAAAAAGCAATGGGAAGTGTCCTTGGGTGAGGATAAAAAAATAAAATAAAAACTAAGATAACTTGAAAAAGAGAACTCATCTTAAATGGTGTGTTATATGTTATATTTTAATATGCATTACACGTATAACTATTAAACAGACTTTTTGTGTGTCACTAAAAGTCGCCATGTACTACCCACTGCGTGGTGCATGCCCAACATTATGAAACACTGTACTACACCATCTAATTGTCCCCATTCTTCCTTCCCGGGGTTCTTTTTAAATACAGCGGAGTGATCCTGTTACCGTTCTCCTCCTGGTTAAGTTCAATCATGGTATCAAGACCTTCAGCACGTTGGTTCCCCATCTACCTTTAGTCTGGGTGTGACCCAGTGCAAGAAAGGCTGGCACGGGGCCCGCCTTTCCTCGCTTTTGCTCAGCTGTGCTCTCCGCCCGCCATCCTCCACTAGGCTCTTTTTCAAGGTCCACATCCCATTCCTTTCCCGGTGAATGGCAATGGCCTTGCATCTAGGCGCCAGCATTTACCGTCTGTGTGGCATCACGAAGTCACTTCGTGTGTGACATTACTGAGGCATGTACGTTTGCTTTTCTTCATCTATAAAATAAGATGAACACCAAGCCCATCTTGCAGAAGTACTGCCTGGGTCAGCTGAGATAAAAGCTGAAAGGCTCCCGGCACGCACCAGGTGCTCTGCAAACGTTCCCGCTCCAGCTGCCACTCAATGCTTTGACGCACGCCTCCAGCTGGCTGCTGGAACGCGTGCGGAGAGGCCATTGCCCCGTTACCCGGTTATCCTTCCACAGCATCCAACAGCGGGGTCTAAACAACTGAAGTTTGAAACTGGTTCTCATCAGGATCTTGGTCAAAATACACCACGATCCCGTGGGGTGGAGCTATTATCCCCTTTCTACAAATGAATAAAGAAGGTCGGAGGTTTCGCGACTAGCCCCAGTCCGGCAGCAGCAAAGTAGCGGCAGAGCATTCGCGCCTACGCCCCGCGCGGCAGCCGGCCCCGAGAGCCTCCAGTGCAAAGCAGGCCCGGCCGCTCTCGGAGACGCTTCCCATGGGGTCTCACCTAGCCTTAAGAGCGCGGGGCCTCGGAAGCCAAAGCTTGGTCCACTGTCGCCCAGGACAGTCTTCAGCCCAGCTCCCGCCTGAGATCGCCAGAGGGTCTTCTCTAGCTCCGCCGCCTTCCAAAGCCCGCGCTCCCGTCACGTGACGCGCTGCTGTGCACAGCCTTCTGGGAAGTGTAGTGCAGGCCCGCCCCCTCGGCCGGCGCCTCTCAAGGCTCACAGTCCCAGCAAGGCGAACGCACTCTCTCAGCGAGCCTACAAGTCCCACAATGCCACGTGCGCGGGTGCCACATCCTTTTCCGGCTGAACGGCGCACCGGCTTAAACAGACGTGTTTTTCCGGTGGCAGAGCAGCGGTTCACCCTGTCCCAGGCAAAATGGTGAGATGGGTGAGGGGAGCTTGCAACAGTGTTGGGAGGACCCTTCAGGCCCCGTCCCATACTCCCTTTCTCTCGCAGAGGCCTCGGGCACCCGTGATCCAGACTGCGGGCGGCTCCCATATCCTCCGACTCGGGCCGAGGGGCGGAGAAGGGAAACCGCTCGCCCTGGACACTTTAGGCTGTTTTTATCTCTCCAGTTTTAAGGATGGGGGGCGTGAGGTGCAATTTTAATGTCTTGGAGCTTTTATCTCTTTTACTTGTGATCAAGCTGTCCTCTCTCTCGCCATTTCTTCCCCCCGCGGAACTGGTACTTATTCTACAGGGCCTTGGGCAAATGTCGTCTTCCTGGTGAAGCATTTCTAACTCTTTCTGGCAGTTGGCCTCTCACGGGAGCTCCCACAGCCTCTGTACAGACCGCTCTCTTGCCACGTGTCCTGGACTTCATTGTTACCTGCCACGCCTCCCAGTGACCACCATCTGACGTGCCTCTAGCCCTGAAATGATGTCTATTCATCTTTGTATTCCCAGTGCCAAACACAGGGCCTGAAAATGGAGGCTCAGTAAATGACAGTGATTGTCTGTCATTTGGGGGATGGGGGATAAATGTTTACCGAATTGAATTCCAGTGTCTCTTAGAACAATGGGGTCGATTTACTTGTCTAGAGTTGTTATGTTCAGGATTTTCGAAGCCTTGGCTGGTGGGTGACAATGGAAGTTAACATTTGTCCAGAACTGTATGTTTTCAGCCCTCTTTCACAGGCATTACCTCATAATCTTCCCTAAACTCTGGGAAGGAAACAAACACCTATTGAGTGACTATTGCCAGGCAGTAGCCAGATGCTTTGACGTTCGTCATCTTTCTGAAATCATACATCACCCCTGGGAGATGTTATAACTCAACTGAGACTCCTGTTACTCACTAGAGCCAGAATTTGAACTGGTGCCATTTTCCTGTAAATTCTGAGATTCCATAATAGTGTAGTGAGAATAACACAGAAGCTGAGATCTAGCTATGGGCCCAAAAAGCTCCTAAAATTATAGGCAGACTTTTTCTTGGGCAGAAAGCCCATACTTTTCACTACATTTTTTTTTCATAGTGGCCAGTAGCCTCAGGAACTATTAAGGGCCATTGATCAATAGCTAACTAGTTGCCTTTTGTGTTCTAGCCTCTGACTCCCAGCTGCCCTTCTTGTCTCACGTTGAAAAGATGAGTGCTGCCTTAGTTTCAGATGTTACTTGTGGTCATTCCCAGACCGCATCACTTGATGTGGGTTCTGAAGGATTTCCACATTTCCTAGGCTGAAACAGGCCTTAAGCAGTCACAGCAGCATGAGGTTCCTTAATAACTCCTTAATCCACCGGGTTGCTGTGTTGGGATTCTTTCACGGCTCTGAACTCATGCCTTCCCCTAGGAGCTGGAGGCCATGAGCAGATACACCAGCCCAGTGAACCCAGCCGTCTTCCCCCATCTGACCGTGGTGCTGTTGGCCATTGGCATGTTCTTCACCGCCTGGTTCTTCGTGTATCCTTCCGCTGAGCAGTGAGTGGGCCAGAATTACCGATGTGGGAAACTGAGGCAGAAACCATGCTGGGCACAGGCACCCTGCCCATTTGTCCTGGTGTGGGATTGGAAGAAGGTGAAGAGGTTGAGGGAAGGCTGTCAATGTTCCAGGTCAGGTTGCCTCATTTTTCAAGTTCAGGTGAGTTCAGTTTGCTCTTCAGATTTTTAGAACAGTGAGCTGAGGGCCTGGCCCGACTGGAGGGCCCGATCTGAAGTCAAGAAAGTGGTATAAGGAGGGAGGCCCTCTGGTGCCAGGAGATCTGAGGACTAGTCTAGCCCCACCGTTCATTAGCTGTGTGACCTGGGGCAAGTGACCTAACCCCTCTGGGCCTCGTTTTCTTTCTGGGTAGTAGAGGGGTAGCATGGAGTAACAGAGTCTAGGCCATCTCTTGGGCCTCTCTGCCTGGCTGCACCAAGCCAGACAAACCTCCCAGAAAGCCCGTAGCCCGTATCTTTCTCCTGGAGTCACAGCGTCCATGCTTCCTGCTCTGTGCAGTCCATCCCCTTGCTTCTCCTTAACCGTCTTGCCAGTTACGAGGTCACCTCCACTAAGTACACTCGTGACATCTACAAAGAGCTCCTCATCTCCTTGGTGGCCTCACTCTTCATGGGATTTGGGGTCCTCTTTCTGCTGCTCTGGGTTGGCATCTACGTGTGAGCTCCCAAGGGTAAGAGTTGTGACAGGGTGGGACACTGGAAAACCTCCCACACCTGTATCAGGGTGGTCCTCAGGCCTGCAGGACCTCTCGGTTAATGGAGACACTCAGCAGAGTGGATAGGGACCCCAGACACATACACCTCCTTCCCAGTTCCTAATGGGGGTTTGAGCCAAGTGTGGCCTACTTTGTCAGTTCTAAATTTTGTACACTGCCCAGGGCCTTGGTCTGGCTGTGGGATGTACTACACAGGGCTGTGGACACAGCCTTCTCGTGGTTACGCGTTCGTGTTCTCACTTGTCATACACCAGTAACTTGGAGAGGCTGCTGGGAAGGGGGTCAGGGACTGGTACTTAAAATTTGCTGCAAGGAGTACTGTTTTGATTAGTCTGAATGTTTTCAGCCATTGAAATGTTGACCAAGTGATTAAAGAAAAAGAAAAAAGCTGCAGCAGATAATCCATCGAGCAGATCGTGAGAATTGGCTCAGGTGGCTTAGCTTTAAAGGAGTGCGCCCATCAGCCCTGGCCCGGGGACACCGGGTCTCAGTAAGAAAAGTCGGTAGAAAGGGGGACCTCTGGTCTCATTTTGATACCCCTCTCTTCCAGGTTCCACCGGCAGCTTCACTGAATCCCTGCTTTTGTAAATTAATTTTTTTACTGTTGCTGGAAGTGCCCCACCTGCTGCTCACAATAAAGGCAGATGTGTGACTATCTTGTCTGGTGCCCAGTCCAGCTCTTCCTGCTTTTCTTCTGCCTTCCAGATGGTTCCTGCTGCTGGGATGCCTCCTTGTACCTTTGAGGGCAACGGGACTGTGGAGGGGGGGTCTTGTCCTTGTACTCGAGGGCCTACCTGTGAATAGGAAGGGCAGGGCTACCCTCGTCCATCTTGTCTGCAGCAAACTTCTCTAGGATCTCTCATCCGTCGGGTGTTCCGTGGGCCAGGCCTCTGCTCCAAGTGCAGCCACCGTTCTCTGGGTTGGGAATGTTGGCAAGGTGCAGCTTCTCCTTTACAAAGACTTTTCCCTGGGATGGCTACTTTTAACCCAGGCAGGGCAGCAGTAGGTCCCTGGGGTGTGGCTAGGGGAGGGGCTGCTGAGTCCTGTTCCCAAGCCTCGTATGAAGCGAAGGAGGAGAATGGGGCGAAAACATCCATCTGGCTTCGGCACCCCCAGTTCCAGGAGGTCCTCGCCCCACAGGCGACTCCATCTCCCACCAGAACAATCTCAAGAAGAGACGGAAGGCAAGCTCAGATACAAAGCTGTATTTATACATTTATTTATATGTGTGTGTTTACTTCAGGAGAAAAGAACAGTTCAGGGGACAGGGCTGCTTCCCTCTGCCCACGCCTGGGTCCGAGTTGGTACACGATGAATATGAGTCAGAGCTCAGGGGCGGGAGCTGGGAGTTAACGGGGAGGGAGGGCGCTCTATGCACACGCAGGCCTTTACGGGAGATACAGTGAGGGCAGGGGTCTTGTGCATCGCGAGGCCCTATGTACAGCTTGAAGCTTGGGGGAGATTAGCCCAGTGGCTATGGGAGTACATGCCAAAGGGAGAGAGAGAGAGGAAGAGATGGCTGCTGGGCCCTGGGCACCGCATGGAGCCGAGACATCCACTTTCCAGCCCCAGCCAGGCAGCTGTGGCCTCCAGCAGGTGGCCCATTCACCTTCCCTGAGGCCCTTTTACCTTATTGGGCTTAACGCAACTTTGGTCCAAGGTTGGCCCCCCTCGAGCAGCTTGGAGCCCCTGCACTGAGACCCCCACCCCAGGCATGGAAACAGCCAGCTGCTAACCAGATTGGGGCTCTGCTGTGTCCAGACGGGCCCCAGGGGGCAGTGGAGGGTCACTTTCCAGTTAAGGACAAGAGGGGCTGTAGTCGAGGGACAAATACCCCACTGAGGGAGTCCCAGAATCCTATTATAAGGAGGGAGCTCAGCAGTTTTAAGGCATTTAGGGAGGTTCCCCCCACGCCACCACACTGGGAGGAGAGCGAGCACAGTAGTCCTAAATAAGGCCGGGCTCCCTGCACGATGTGAGAGCCACGTTATCCCCACGTCAGAATGAGGGAGTGGGGGCACACTGGGGTGTGGGCTGCGTGGCTGGGTCTCCCCGAGAGCCCCCATCCCCCAGGTGTCTCCCCACCCTGAGGATAAGTGCTTTGAGACCCACAGCAGAAGGGGCCCCGCGGTTCCTAGGCTTTCTCAAGATTCAGCTCCCCCTGCGGAAAGGCCTCCCACTCAGAGCTGAGAAATGAGACATAAGAGGGGCGAGGCCTGGTTCCCAAAGAGGTGGCAGACCATCCCAGAGCAGGGGCACGTGGGAAGTCCTGCGCCCACGTCTGAACCCACTTCAGACATGGCTCAGCGAGGCCACGCTCCTTCCATGAGCCCCTTGTGTTCTCAGAATGCTGAGAACCCACTGAGGACAAGCTAATGTTGGCACGTAAGACTTGCCCTAACCTACGCCCGCTCCACTCCGGGAGGAGTGAGCAGAGATGGGGCCTCCAGCAGACAGGAAAGGAGGGAGAGGCCAGCGCCTTCATGGTCAGGAGTGGGATGGGTGTCTTGAGGCCCCTGGGACAGATCAGAACCGGGGCCCTGTCTTTGCAAATGTCATCCCAGGGCTCCGGCCCGCTCTGGGTTTCCTGCTGCCACCCTTCTACTCTTGTCTTGGTTTAAGTGCATTTTAGTTACTCATTAATAACAGCAAAAGCTATCTGCATCCACCCAGCAGCCAAGGTGGCCTGCTGCCTTGCAAGGATTCCTGCTCCTCTGCTCAAAGAATGATGGGTCACTGGCACTGCTGTGAGCTCTAGCAGCTCCCCGGAGCCCAGGCCTTGGAGCTGCACCACGGGAAGCTCATACGGAACTTCCCTTCCAGGATACTCCAGGTTCAAGGGTCCCAGGCTTACCTGGCCCACTGGCCCCACTGGTTCAGCCAGGCACTAAGTGTACATAAGGCGCGTGGTCAGTCTCTCCAACCCATCCAGGGATGGCTTCAGTTGCCCCGGGAGCTTTTGGAGCCAAGCTCTCCCAGGGAGAAGAGACCTCCTGGGCCACACTTAAAGCTTTGAAGTGCAAGTCCAGTGTAACAGTCAAACCCCAAAAGTCCACCACCTCGCCACCCCTCAGGGAGCAGCTTCGAGGCTGAGGGCTGCCGGCCCCCCACCGATGCATGGTTCCAGCCAGATCTCGAGGCTCCCTCCAAGCCCCCACTGATCTCAAAGGCAGGCAGGTCCTCTCTGAGGGCCAGAAGGTAGCTCTCAGTCTCGAAAGAGGAGGCAGGGAGGGTGGGCTCTGGAGAGAGTTCCAGGCTTCCCCTTGCCTCCAGTGTATCTGAAGCCAGCCCTCTGGTCACCAGCCACCGTAGCTGGACAGATGTGAACTGGCCCCAGGAGGTCCCCGGTTCCCTTCTGGGTGTAGGAGGAGTGACCAGCAGGAACAGCAGCTCCAGTGTGAGGACCTCCAGTTTCGCCCGGCTCAGCCCCTGGGAGAGTGCCGGTGAGCGGTGGAGAGCTGGGGGCTGCGGGCCCCAGTGTAACCCCACTGCGTCCAGTGTAGAAAGAGCGCCGGGCCGGGCCCTGGTGCGGTGCTGCCCGGGGAGGGCGGCTCAGTCACACAGCCGGTAGAAGCGGAAGTAGTAGTCCGTGGCCGGCCGGACCGGGGCCTCCAAGCTGCAGTTGGCCTGACCCTGAGCGGAAGGGCAGTGGGACTGTGTGAGGTGGCTCGGGGGTTGCAGGGCAGGAGGTACGCCCTCCGATGACCTTTCCCGACACTGCCCTGACTCCTGCCCAGGGCTCTGCAGATGCCCTCCTCCCCGCCCCTCCCTGAAGACCCATGCAGGTGCAGGTGCTGTGCTCACCAGGAATGCCACCTGGAAGTGGTAGGTGAATTCACGGAAGGAAAGGATGGTTACTGGCCACTGGTGGGAAGTGCCCTGGAGAAAGAGTGGAGAGGGGTCAGGACAGCCCCTTGCCCCTGTCCCAGTCAGAATCCCTCTCACAGGCCACCGCAGCCTTGGGCTCTGCTGTGAGTTTGAAGGAGGGGTGGGAGGGAGCAGGGTCTGCTGTGGGGAGCAGCAGCAGCCCCCCTCCGTGCAGAGTGTGCCAAGTCCACAGCGGCCCTCACCTGGTGCCCGCCTCTCTTCCCCGTCTGTCTACCTTCCCTCTCATCCACTTCGCTCTGGGCACGTGGAAGTATTTAACACCATCTTCACTGCAACCCAATGAGGTGGCTCGGCTTATAGATGGGGAAGCTGAGCTCCTCACCTAAAACCACACGGCGATACTGGCAGAGCTGGACTCCAAACCGGGTCTGTCGTGCTCTCTCCCTGACAGGGCAGCACGAGGCCCGGCGTAGGCAGCTGCCCACCTCCTACCCGAGGCTCTGGCTTTGCCCCTGCAGTACAAGGGCTCAGGCCTGAGCTCCACGGTGGTGAGCGCCTTGCCAGGCTCCCCCCGCCCGTCTCTGTGGGGCCGCAGGGCCTGGGCCTCTTGGGCTGTCTCGGGGCTGTCCCTCATCCCACCCTCTACTCAGGTTCCTTCCTGCACATCTTTCTCCCTGGCTGGGGCACTGTCGGGAGGCAAGGCCTGTGCACACCACACTGTCTCCCCACAGCTGGGCCCAGCACAGGGCCTGCGACACAGGAGGGCCCAGTGAAGGTTTTTTAAAAATTATTTATTGATATTAGAAAGGGGAAGGGAGAGAAGCATCGCTTTATGTTTTTCCACCTATTTACGCACTCACTCGTCTCTTGCATGGGCCTGACCGGAGATCAAACCCACAGCCTTGGTGCATCGGGACAGTGCTCCAACTGAGCAGCTGGCTGGGCTCAGGAGCACTGGTCAACTACACACATGAAGGGTGAACAGAAATTCCTTAACTTGTGCTGAGAGTCACAACTTCAGGTCACGGCCAGTGAGGAGCTAGACAGCGACAGAATCCCAGCCCCCTGGTTCCCAGAGCAGCAGGGAGTCCTGGCAGCTGGCGGCCTTCTCCAGAAATGCCCGCGGAACCGTGCCGCCTCCCCAGCCCGCGCCTGAGGTCCGGGCTCCCTGCCCGCTGGCCTCCCGACTCAGCCCCTGCCACGCTTCCAGCTCTGCCAGCACGCCACGCTCTCCTGGCCTCCAGATCCCCGAGAGTGCTATTCCCCAACTCCTGGGACATGGTCCCCAAATTGCCCTTCAGGTCTCATCTTAACTACACATGACTTTTGTCAGTGGCTGTCCTGACCCTGAGACCAGACAAGGTTAGCTGTCCCTGCTGTGGGCTCCCAGGATTCCCTGTCCCCTCCCACTGCATTCGAGTTCGTCCTTGTGGGACTGTTTTCCTTCCCAGGGCCCTGTCAGGGCAGAAACAGGGACAGGAGGTGCTCAGCAGTGAACGGCGCGCGTGCGTCCCACCCCCACTCTGGGACACAGAGGCCCAGGCCCCAAAGTCCCACCTTCCTCTCCTTCCTCAGTGGGGGCCCAGCTGTGCGCTGGGGCCTGGTTGGCTCACAGCTTCCCCATTGTTTACCTGGGTGTCCTGGTGGGTGTGGACGCTCCGTGGAAGGCCCCCGTCCTCACACGGCTCCTCCGACCTCAGGCTGCACAGCACCACGGACACGGGGAACGAGGAGCTGGGGAAGGCCCAGGTAGCAGGGAGATGGGGTTCCGAGTTCCTCCACCCCAGCCTCCTCCCAGCCGGCACTCCACGCGACCTCCACTGACAC